TGACTGCCTGATGACGGATATAAGGCCATCAATGGCCATTCTAGTCTCTCTTGTCTTTTTTGGCTCTATCTTATCATCGTATACGACAAGTCGCTATGCGGCTGTCTGCGGGATTTTTAAGTCAGCTTCAAGTCACAACGTAACAAACATTACTCTTAACTCGATCAGCGAACGCCGAACTATCAATTCTTTACATATTTGTCAGTCAACTTTCTGTAGATGGAGTGCTCTGTTCAGTTGACCCAACTGCGAAAAACTCCCGGCCTCGATGGGAGCCAAACCCTCCTAATAATTAATTGAACATATTAGTCATTCTGGTGGATTCTAGGCGATAGCTAAGGAAATTATCTCTGGGCAGTTAGCCTACTGTTCCGTAATGGTAGATTCCGTACGAGCAGTAGGTTGGGCCGGCCCAAGTTTGATTAAATTCCCTGCTCACTGCAAGTCTCGTAGCTCAATGGTGGAGCGTTGGCTGCACAAAAGCTCTCCCTGTTGTGCGGGTTCGACTACTAGTGAGGCCGCGAGTTTTCCACAATTGAGCCAACTGAATTATACAAATTTGCCAAACTGCCCTAATAAGAATTAGATTGTTATTTAAAATGGCTCAAATTCAAAAATGTCAGAATTCCCGGATATGAATTATTATTTAAGTTGGTTTACACTTAATCATGGAATTAAGAAATGATGATACCGCAGTCTGTCTAGTAGTTTTACTACAAGTACAGGTGCAGGTCAAAATGCAATCACTTGCCTGTTTGGGCATTATGATCCCAACTGTGGAGATCTGGTCCTCACGCAACTTCGATTCGCCGACAAAGTTGTCGAGCGCAGCTTGCGAACCGGGGCCGAACTGGTCTAGCAGCTGACGTCTCGCCCTGTTGCACTTCTCCACTAGACTGCATGCCATGACCACGGTGGCCCCGCGTCTGGCCAGGCCTCGCGTTGTCAGCAGGCCCAGATCGGAGTCGGCAGGGTAGACCAGGGCCACCGCGCCGTCCAGGCGACCCTCTGTGGAACAGACGCAGCCACCAAAGTAGACTCGAACAGATCGGTAGAGAACGGCCAACATGGCCACTAGGAGTATGTGAGCCAGTGGCGACATGTTTCCTATGGAACGAATAAATTACAAAAGGGCACGCGTGAGACGCTGTTGGGTTAAGAGGGCAAAATGCTTATTTTACTAAGTCCCAGACAGTCATCTACTCAGCGGGTTTCAGTAGGTGGTAGATCTGACCAATACTTATGGAAACCTGCAAATGATCGCGCCAGCGATAAACCCATTTAATATCCTATATCTAGGGACACCAGTCAGGGAAAATGACCCACAAAATGAGGACATTAGTAGAACATTTATTTCAAGTGCGTTTCCTTCGCCTCCTAACTTTTTGTTTAACATAGTAAAACAAAACGTCTGCGCCGCTAAATGCGCAATGGCGTAGCATTAGCTTAGGTTCAGAGTAGACAGCGTTGCCGTTCAGACGTCCTAACTTGATGGCTTACTTGTCAGACCCTGGCTTTTACTCTGCTCTTTTAGATCCAACTCTTCC